AAGACCTTATGCATGCTAGGCACACACTCTACCCACTGAGCTATACGCCCCGCCTCGTTACTGTTATTTTGAACCTTCCTTTACATATACACTATTGTAAGTGGAAGAGCTGTCTTTATTTTTCACTGCAGTATCGTTGATTAACAATGGTAGCTTCGTTGTAACGATTGTCTTGAGTCTGTCATTGAACCAACACATTTCTTTCCCCTTCAAAATCCAGTTAATCAAAAATTAAATATCCTTCAATGATTTGCTAAAATGAGAGATGGTGCGCTCTGTAGGCAGAATATGTCTTCTAGGTGTATACATCTTCTCGTGAGGAGACACGAAAGTCACTCCCATCAGGCGACACGAACCCCGAGGTCTGAGTATTCAGGGACGTTCCTTCTCCTCTGCTTGACTTTGTGGGACTGACCGGCTGGTGGGGCTTGTTCGTCCATGAGGAGCCGTCCCGTTTTATCAGTTGTGATGTTCTGTAAGTCCCAGCTTCTATCACTTGCTCTCTAATAAAAATGTCTTTGTTTCCAAAGCTTTGCAGTTACCTGAGTAGCATAAGCAATGGAAAGTAGCAGCCTTGTGTGAGGATAATGAGGCTTGGAAAGTCTGGAGACTTGAAACGCCTTGGTTTGTTTCAAAGTATTCTGGGTTTTGGTGCCTTTAGAAGAGAGAGCAGAGCCCCGGGCAATGAGACGCAGCAGGAGAGTTTAACCCACGAGCCATTAAAGGCGGCAAGTCTTAGCCCAGCCGTTTGACATTCACTTTATTTCGCATTCATCATCCCCATAAAAATGTTTATTAAAAACCTCATTAATTTGAAAATGTGTTATTATTCGTTTCTGTTGCAGGCAAGGCTCTTGATTTCCTTTCATTTTTTTTCCCTCTGGTGTTGTTTTTGTGCATTGTTTCATTATTGTAGGATGAGAATCGGGCAGAGCTCAAATGTGTCACATTTCTGCACAGCGGTTTATTAGAAAACTGAAATGCACATAATTTGTAATGTGGGGCAGCAGCGCCCTCTACCGTTTCCACTGGGAAAGCTCCGAAAAAACAGCCCTGGGAA